AAAGGAAGGGGACTATCCCTGTGGGATGGGACCAGGAATAAATGCTCATTCCAACCCCATTATCCAGCCCAAACAGGTAAAATAACTGGACAAAGGTGTTTTAGGCTTTAAAGAATGTTGTTCTTCCACTTTCAGCAAGGCCCAGCAGTTGTTCCCAACAGGAGCAGTTACCAGTGGCATAGGAAGTGGGCTGGACTTTGCTGTTTCTTTAGTCTTAGCCTTGTAAAAACTCTGACTAATAATTTTGCCTCCCTTTTCATGCTGGTTTGAATCAAGTGTGAGGCAGCTGTTCATTTTTCTCAGCGATAAATCACCGTTTCCTGACACTTGGAAACTCAGGAGACTGAAAAAAAAAAAGGGGGGAGGGGGGAGAAGTGCTGAGGGTGGAGTCAGTTTTATTTTTAATTTTTTAGCACCTTCAGCTGCTCAGCCCCAAAGGCTGAGTGTTGACACCACTTCAACGTGCAGGGAAATAACTGGAGGATGGACTTGCCAAGGATGGATAAAGGATGAGGGGCTGGAGCCCTCCCTCCCCCATGGGCCTGAAGCTGCCATGTGGAATATCTGAGTGTGTAAAATGGCTTAAAGCATGCAAATTATTGCAAGATCAGGCCCAAAGTCTAGGAGACAGCAATCCTGCCTTCATTGTTCAGCTTGGGCTCGATGTTTGCCTTATGGCAGACTCCTTTCTCTCCTCCCTGGGAGCAGGAGGGAGCAGGGACAACATTCCCTCTGCTCCTCCTGGCCCAGGAGGGGCTCTGCATCCTGTCCCTGTCCCTCCCTCCTTCCCCCCCGGGGCAACACCACAATCCAACTGGTAATAATTCAAAAGCAGAGCCTGGAACAAGGACTTTCTGAAGGCATCTGACCCCTTTCTTTTTGTTTAAGGGAGGAGGAAAGCAAACCCCCTGCTCCATTTCCTGCTGTTGTGCTGGTTATTCCAGAATATTTCCATTGTCAGAGAGCAAACCCTTTGCATGCCAGCAAGGAGGGAGCATCAGGCTGGGGAGAGGGCTAAATTTGGCTCCAATTCCTCAGGAGCCTGACCTCTTCCTATTGAAGCCTGTAGCAACACTCCCACTCACTGTCCAGCAGCACATTTTTAAACACTCCCCCCTCAATTAATTCCGTGTTGCATTGAAGGAAGTGATAAAAATAATCCCCTCAGAACGCATTTTCCTGTAGGTAAAAGGGGAATATTTTCAGTTCACTGGGGAAAATAGTAGGGGAGCACAGAGGGCACAGAGAGGAGGCTTTTGCTGCAGGAACTTGAGCACTTTGGGCACCCAAAAGCTGGTGCCCTGACTCAGGAAAATGGTGAGCAGCAGTAAGTGAGCACATACAAATATCCAGGGTCAGGACAGCAACAGGACAGCCACATGGAAAAGAAAAAAAAAGAAAACAACAGGTTTTCTGTAAAAATCTGACAGCATTTTAAATGAACTGAATATCACAGATTTCATACAGGCCCAATCCTTTCATAGATTTCCATTTTTTCACGAAAATTACTGTTAATTTGGGTGACTGCAACACAGTTTTCTCTGTGTTTGCTCTTTTAAAAATCTGCTTTCTGCTTTTACTCTCTTTCCTTTCCCTATTTGCTCACTGAGACAGCTTTCATTTTCAGCTTTCAATCAAAAAAAGAAAAGGTGGGAGGAAGCTTTATTTCCAGGAATATATTTGATTGTTGAGTGGAAAAAAAAGGAATTGCTTCCCAATGAAAGGGTTTCTATGTAAAGAAGCACAGCCAGATCAAACACAGAGACACTGAAGTTACAAGGACATGAGATGGTCTCTTAGGAAAATCATTCCCAGCCAGTCTCACCTATGGATTGGGAATTGTACACAGCCTAGATGTGTGAAATCCTATTTCTGTGCCTTCTTGTTGGTTGTAACATCTTTGATGCTTCCAGTGGAGTTGTTGCAGCAACTCATCCAACCAACAAAACCAATATTGCAACTTCTATAACATGGATTTAGGTTTTTTTAATTGATTCTGTGAATCTGTCACAGCTACAGGGAAGAGATTCCCATCTGGGCAAAGTCCCTGGGAGCCACTTCCACAGCAAATTACGTTTTTATTGTTATTTCCTGATTGAGAAATACAGCTGGAGCACAAAAACCTGCCTAATTTGGGCACAGTGAGTTAAGTCAAAACCACAGCAATCCTCCCAGATTTGTGCTGGCTGCAGATCCCTGGGCAGGGATCAGGTTCCCCTGGGAATTGCCTGCAGTGCTTGGCTGGGAGGTGGGAAGGTGGGACTGGTGTCAATTTGGGATTTTCATCCTCCCCTTTGGCAGGTCCAGCATGTCCATGGTGCTCCCAGCATGGCTGGAGTGAGTTCATGGGGGACAAACCCTTCTGGGGGCTCTGGCAATCCACATTCCAGTGCAAATATTCTTATTAATAACCTTTAAGTCTCCTCCTCTGTTAAAATGGAATGGATTGGGTGCCTGATCCTGATTCAGGGCTGAAATCCATGACTGAACACCCCTTGGTTTCACCCACTGACTTCATTAAAATCCCTACCAAATAATAGTTGGGGTAAAGGACAGAACGAGTGCCTCAGCAACACCAGAGGAGTTAAAAGTGTCTTCTTTTAACTTTTTAACTATTAAAACAAGCAGCGTTTTGTGCCATGTCCTTCTGGACCCTGAATTTTCATGGCATCCTTAGTTCAGGCAGTACAGGCATGGCCTTTCCCTGTGGGAATGCAAAAGCAAGGGGCAGGTTCTCCTCCTGCCTTCGGATCAAGAGGCAGAAAATCAACTGGCACAAGAGGGGAATGAGCAGGGAGCTGGGAGGGGATTTTTTTTTTCCCTTTCATTGGTACAACAAAATGGAAATGGGCTCTTTGTTTTCCCAAATGCAGTGATAGATTTGTCACTGCCAATATTGATTTCCTTCCCCGACATAAACTATTTTTAAAAACGCCTCTTAATGGGTTTTCTTTGCTTGCAGGGTTGTGATGTTGGGCTTTTCTCCACAGCCCTGCTCTGGCAGGATCAGCAGTGGGGTCTGCTTGTCTTTAAAAGCGAAGGGAAAAGTGGGAGGAAGGGAATGTCAGGGTTAAAAAAAAAGACAATGAGAAGGATGAACTGAAACACAGCAGGGAAGAAAGCAGGAATATTTGTCCCACCCAGCCCAGAGGAACGTGCTGAGTGGGAGGGGAGCAGAGCTCTGTCTCCCAGTGGATCTTACACTGGGAAGGGCAGTCCCTGCCCTGGGGCTGATGTGCTCTGAGGTTATAAATTCCAAGTGGAGAGGGCTTAGAGGGATGCAGAAACACAAGGAAGAGGTGGAAATTATGGGGTGAGACTCTTCTGCCTCGAGCTCCTTCCAGTTTAAGCACGAGAGGGTCAAGTGGAGCTGTTGGAGCAGGTCCTGAGGATGCTCTGAGGGCTGGAGCTGCTCTGCTGTGGGGACAGGCTGGGAGAGCTGGGGGTGACAGAAGGCTCCAGGGACACCTGAGAGCCCCTTCCAGGGCCTAAAGGGGCTCCAGGAGAGCTGGAGAGGGACTTGGGACAAGGGATGGAGGGACGGGACACAGGGAATGGCTTCCCACTGCCAGAGGGCAGGGTTAGATGGGATATTAGGAAAAAATCCTAATTTTTGGTGGGGAGGCCCTGGCCCAGGTTGCCCAGAGAAGCTGTGGCTGCCCCTGGATCCCTGGAAGTGTCCAAGGCCAGGTTGGATGTTGGAACAACCTGGAATAGTGGAAGATGTCCCTGCCCATGGCAAGGGCTTGGAATGAGATGAGCTTTAAGTTCACTTCCAACCCAAACCATTCTGGGATTCTAAGTGGCGACAGAGCCCTTGAAAGCCCCAGTTTGCCCATTTTTGCTCTTTCTCCTGGGGCAGTTTGGTCAGCATCACACTGAGAGGTTTTCCTAAAAATTTTTAAAACTGTAATTAAATAAGTAAATAAGCAAAGAAATAGAAATAGGAATAGAAAATACAGCTAAACAAATAGAAAATATAATAAAGAAATAGAAGTAATTATAGAAATTATAGATAAATAAATAGCAAATATAATAAATAAATAAATAGAAATAATACTAGAAATTACAGATAAGTAGAAAATCTAATAACTAAATAAATAGAAAAAATAATGGAAATTACAGATAAGTAAATCAAAAATATAATTAATAAATAAATAGAAACAATAATAGAAATTGCATATAAAGAAATAGAAAAACATAATATATAGATAAACAGAAGTAATGATAGAAATTATAGATAAATGAATAGTAAATATAATAAATAGAAATAATAATAGAAATTACAGAAAAAAATAGAAAATGTAATAAATAAATATAAAAATAGAATTACAGATAAATAAGTCGAAAATATAATAAATAAATAAATATAATAATAGAAATGACAGATAAATAAACCGAAATATAATAAACAAATAAATATAATAATAGAAATGACAGATAAATAAATCGAAAATATAATAAACAAATAAATAGAATTAATAATGGAAATTACAGATAAATAAATGGAAAAGATAATAAATAAATAAATAAAATAAGTAAATAAAGAAAATAATAGAAATGACAGATAAATAAATGGAAAATATGGCAAACAAATAAAGAAATAGAAATAATAATAGAAATTACAAATAAGTAGAAAAATCTAACAAGTAAATAAATAAATAAATGGAAATAATCGCGCGTGCACGTGCTTTTGTGGGTCTTTTTTTGTGTTCTTTGGTTTTTTTGGTGTTTTTTTTTTTTTTTAAAGGAACCTTCATTTCTCCTGCATCCGCCTCCCCGGGTGTCTCATCCCCGGATCCCGGGTGGGTTCCCCCCCATCCTCCCCTCCCACGCCCCCCGTGGCCACCCCCACCCACCCTCTCTCCCTCCCTCCCTCTCCCTCTCGCTCTCCCTCCCTCCCTCCCTCCCTCTCCCCCGCCCGGAGGCGGCGGCTCCGCCGCGGAGGCTCCGCGGGGGCTGCGCGGGGTGGGCGGGTCGCGCCGCGCGGGGCCGGGGCAGCGGCAGCGCTCCCGCGGCGTGTGCGTGGATGGCCCTGCGCGGCCCGCGATGGCTGCGCGCTGATGGCCCAGCCCGCGCCGCTCGCCATGGCTGCCAGAGACGAGCTGTACAGCAAAGTCATCCCCCGGCGGAACCGCCAGCACCGCGCCGGGACCATCAAACACGGCTCCTCGCTCGAGATCCTGCTCTCCATGGGCTTCCCGAAAGCACGGGCGTAAGTCGCCTGAGCGGCCCCTTCCCCCTTCCCTCCCCTTTTCGCTTTACGGCGGAGAGAAGCGGCGGGCGCTGCTCCGGACCGGCGGGAGGGAGCGCCGGGGATCCGGGGATCCAGGCGGGGGACGGCGGGGATGCGCTGCCGGGGCGCGGGGATGAGGTCCCGGAGCGGGAGTATGAGATCTCGGGGCAGGGTGATGCTCTGCCGGAGCAGGGGGGATGCGCTGCCGGGGCGCGGGGATGCGCTCCCGGAGAGGAGGGGATGAGCTGAGGGAGAGAAGGGATGCACTGCCGGAGCGCGGGGATGCGCTCCCGGAGAAGAGGGATGCGCTCCCGGAGCCGGGGCGATGCATTCCCGGAGCGGCCGGGGCAGCGCGGGATGCTCTCCCGGGCGCTGGGAATGCTCTCCCGGCCGCTGGGAATGCTCTCCCAGGCGCTGGGAATGCTCTCCCGGGCGCTGGGAGTGCTCTCCCGGCAGCGGGGATGCTCTCCCGGCAGCGCAGGAATGCTCTCCCGGCTGCGATGGGATGCGCTCCCGGAGCGACCCGGAGATGCCTTCTCGGAACGCTCAGGGCAGCGGGGAATGCTCTCCCGGCAGCGGAGGGATGCGCTCCCGGAGCCGGGGGGATGCGCTGCCGGGCCGGCCGGGGCAGAGAGGGGATGCTCTGCTGGGCGGCGAGGGAATACGCTCTCGGAGTGGCCCTGGGATGCTTTCTGGGAAAGGCCAGGGCAGCGAGGAATACTCTTCCGGCAGTGCGGGGATGCCCTCCTGGAGCAGGGGGATGCACTCCCGGAGCAGGGGGATGCACTCCCGGAGCAGGAGATGCGCTCCCGGAGCAGGGGATGCACTCCCGAAGCAGGGGATGCGCTCCTGGAGCTGCCCGGGGATGCACTCCTGGAGCAGGGGATGCACTCCCGGAGCAGGAGATGCACTCCCGGAGCTGCCCGGGGATGCCGTAGGACCCGAGGGATGCTCTGGGTCGCATCCCAGCCTGGCTCCGAGGTGCCGGGGAGAGAGAGGCAGGTGCCGTCCCGGGTTCCGTCCCCACCCGCCGCGGTGCTGAAGGGCCCCCGCACCGCCGGGAAGTTGGGGATGGCCACGGAGGCAGTTTTTGCACCCCCTAAATTGGAATCGGAGCCCGTCGCTCCCGCGCCGTGAAAATAACGAGTCCCTGGCGCGAGTGCTTTAGCTCGGTCACCCCGGAGATTTTCTTTAATCCCTGTACAAGTCACCCAAAAAGGGACGGAGCAATGCAAGAAAATTTCCGTGCGTAGCCCAAAATGCTTTGGCTTTTCTTGTCCGGTTTATGCCCTGGTGTCATCTCTCTGCATGTGCTTATGCTTTTAATTAATTAGGCAGCAACGTAATGGGAACTTAATGATGAAACAGAGTGACTCCTGAAGTGGGACCCGGCGCTTTAGGATGCAAATGAAACCCGGGGGGATCGGGATGGTTCCTTGATCTCCTTAAGTTTTCCGGTTTGTACCGGTCAGAACTCCGTGGTTTTGCAGCCTGTCTTTGGGCAGGTTTTTTTCTAAATATAGAGACAGAGAGATGCAGTTTAAGGACATATGTTATCTGTGGATTCATGGATCCACCAGCACATGCAGGAAATCTTGTGTTTTCCACAGTCCTCCTTGCATTCCCGAGGGCTGTCAGTGATCTATCGTTGTCTGTTGAGATCAGCACACAGCATTTATATACAGTGAATGCAAATGCAGATCAGAGGAGACTGGTGACTTCATGCTCTGCTCGGCTGGAAAAACAGATGTGCATCTTTCAGAATAGCTAGAGAAAAAAAAGCAGCCTGATCCTATGAATGAAACTAGTTCTTACCTGCACAACAGTGCCATCAAGGCTGACAGGCAGCCCTGCTCTTACCTCACTGAGGAACTGTGTCTATGGGTCATGTTCTTGCCCAGGAAAACACTGACATTTGATAAAAATGCACTCAGAGCTTCGTCAGACAAACCAGAGAAGGTTAAACACAGGGAACAAGCCAGAGAAAGGGGTAAAATATCCTTAACTGCAAAAACTATTCATTGCAAATCTAACCAGCCAGATGGGTGAAGCTGTCATGATACTAAATTCGGGATAATGTGACATAACCCTGCTTGACAGCTCAGCTCTCTGCTGGGAGAGGGACCACTTTCCCCATCTGAAGTAGCAATTAGTGCCCCTGTTCCAGCCTGCTGGAAATGCTACAAATAATTCATCATTAAAATTCAGACGGGAAGCAAAACGGAAATCAGACATCTCAGTAGTGCCACCAAGGAACAGCACAGGTTTGGAAGCCTGAGACACAGGACTGTGTGGCCACAGGACATTCCCTAAAGGTCACTGCTGCCCAGAAAATGCTTTTTAACTTTTTAACTCACAGAATATTACTCTGTAAGTGTGAATGAAAGAGAATACCAAGATGGCAAGGAGGTAAAACCATCTCACTCTCAAATATAGCACTGAGAAGTCCCCTTAAAGCCCTTTTGAGTTTTCCCCCCAAACTCTCCCACCTCTGTTTTCTACCCCAAAGCCACAGTTACGGCAGGAGAAAGGGAATTCAGTGAAATTCCAGCTCTGTGCTTGTAGATCCTGCCTACAAACACAAGCCAGGCTGGTACTTAAAAGTGGTGACCATCTGTTTGGGTGGCTTATGCAAAACAAAGCTCCAAGTTGTCAGACAAGTCTGTCAGGCATGTCACAAAATGCCATCTCTGTTGGCATCAGTGGCCTCCTGGCTTTTTGTGAGAGCTGGGGGGGATTGATTGGGGCAGGGGACAGAGGGGACCCCTGGGGACATGATCAGAGACACAGGAGTTAGCCGGAAAACACAGGTTTGGGGTTTGGTATTGAGCCAGTACTGAGATCCTGGGAGGACTTTCAGCCTCTAATTCAGCTCGAGCAACTTCATGTGTCCCACCCCCGATAAAGAACACCTTTTGTCTCTTCTAAACTGATATTGTTCATTATTTGATAATGTTTCTCTGTGCCTGCATTTTAAAGGCTCAGATGGCCAGGATGACCCTGGGCTGGCACTGCTGACAGGAGCTGAGGAGTCTCACGGTCCTTTTATTTCCCTGGTTCTGTGTTACTTTGGCCAAGCCACTTCCACCCAGTGTCTGATGAAATAATCAAAGGTGAAAGGCTAAATATGGTTTCCAAGTGTTACTAGGATGGTTAGTCCAGACTAACTTAGTACAGACCAGCTCAGTTAAGGGCAGAAACGTGTGAGCCAGGCAGGAACCAAGAGAGGCTGTCGGGTATCGAGTGGATCTTGTGTGCAGATCAAGGTGTTATTAAATAAGCCTGGTTTTTTTCCATCCTGGATGTGGGTTGTGGGGCTAAAAGGTCCATCAAAGGACATACCCATTCACCTCTGAAGTCCTTGTTGCTGCCTGTCTTCCTTCCCAGCAACAGCTTCAGTTCATCTGAGCTACTCCAAATTACACAGTGATGCCCAAACCACCTTTGGATGCCTTTACCTGTGAATGGCAGCTGCTCAAACCACTGCAGTGTGTCACCCCTTTGAAGTGGTACCATCAGCTGCAGTTCTGCCTTGCCTGGTTTTGCCAGCACACAACCATTATTTCTTTCTTTTGCAATTAGCCCATCCCATTATGTGCTGTCTGCTCACACGAGAGGAGGCTCCCCCTGCCCCAAGGAGTTCCTGATTTATACAAGGAAGCAAGGCAAAGGTGATGTTACAATTCCCATTGTGCAGTTTGGGTGCCAAGACGAGCATTTTACCCAAATCCTGACCAGATCCCCAGTGCCTCAAGGCTCCTAAACACAACAGGCTTCCTCTAGAAAAGGATTTCACACAACTATTATTTTCCAGTTGCCCCAAAATATTGTTTAGCATCTCATTCTGGATCTCCTGTTGCACCTAATTCTGATCTAACTACAACTAAATACAGCTATTGTGTATAATCCCTATAAATGTGCTGATATTCTTTGTGAAAGGAGAGAAGCACAATGCAGTTTACAGGCCACCAAAACCACAGGGGGATCACTTAAAACTATTATGTAGGTACAAGCAACTAAAAAAAAAATCTATAACCTGTGTCTATAAAATGCTAAACATAGGAAAATTTAGTGATGGACTGCAGCTTCTTTCAGGATGGAAGAAGACCTCTGACCAAATTTAAATTATTGAAACTTATCTGGCCTGCACAGTGCAGAAATCAATGTACCTCCAGAATCTGCAAGTTCAGTGATCTGCAGTTTTAAAAGTTTCATGTTAGACTTTAAACTCCTCCGAAACATCCTCGAAACCAGAAAGTTAAAATTCTAGCATGAGACCAAAAAAAAAAAAAAAAATCCTGCTTTCTATTTTTTTTTACTTCTGGGTGCACATATGTGCAGGAATATATAAATACATAACATTTAGAATGTTACTTCAGTGTCATACAACTCTGAATTCAAGCCACAGCCCTGAGATGTTGTTTCAGAAGAGATCCAGGCCTAGAAAAATGAAGATAATTCCCTGGCCCCTGTCATTACTCAAGCTGGGTAAATCACTGTTCATAACCAGAACACTTCAATTAGAGGTACTGTGCTTTTTCAGTCACTGTGCTCTCTGTGATAAGAGTGAAGGATAACACAGGTGGCAAAGCTTCCCAAAAATAAATGGATGTTCCTTCCCATCATGTCAGCCTGGAAAAGGGGAATTATCTCCTGCAGACAGGTGGATAATATTGGTTTAATGTGTAATGCTGTGTTCCTGGATGGATCTGAGCATAACTGCAAACATTTCCCCCCCCCCCCCTAAAAATGGGATAGACAGGAATATTGGACAATTTACAGTGATTCAGCTCCATCATTTCCCCTGTGCTGCACATTTCCTCCTTCTTCCCTCCCACAAAAGACCACCTGGTTTAACTCTGTGGCCTGAATAAAACCAAGGCAGTCTGAGTTGGATTTGCTTTCCCAGTGGCTGTGAGAATTTAGGAGCATTAAGGGTTTCATTATTGTCAAAGAAAAGCAGCTCAGATCCAGTTTAC